GTTAATATATGATAATGATAAAAGTGACAAGAAGCAGAAAAAAAGAAAAATCCGAAGAAAGTTGAAGAAAAAAGACGAAACAAAAATAGAAAATGCCCCTAAAAAAAGACGATTTATGTTTATGGTTAAAAAAAAAAAAGAAAATAGAAAAAAAAATGGAAGAAGAAAAAATAAAAAGCAAAAAAATAAATTTTAAAAGCAATATAATAACAAAAGTAATAATGATAATATAATAATAATAATAAAAAAATAGTAATAATAAATAGAATAATGTAATGATAATATGAAACATAATAATATAATAATAATAAATAATGATAATAATAATGATAATGATATAATAATATAAATAATAACAAAAAATATAATAATAATAAAAAAAATAGTAATAATGATAATAATAATAATAATGATAATAATAATAATATGATAATAAAATAATTATAATAATAATAGTCTTGTAAAAAAGACTAGGTGGGAAAAAAAAATGTTATCACGAACATACAGTAACTCGAAGTAGTCCACATAACCACACTCCGCTGTTCCTGAGAACTTTTGTTGTGGAATGTTGGAAGTGCAGTGGAGGGGGGGGGGGGGGTAGATGAAGGAAGGGGAGGCGGTGAGGGTGCAAAGGGGGGTAGGGGGCAGAGAGGTAGGAGGAAGGAGGGGACGGTGGGAAGGGGTAGGCAAAGTAGGATGAGAAGGAGAGGTGGGAGGAAGGAGGGGACGGGGAAGGGGGGGAAAGTAGGATGAGAAGGAGAAGTAGGAGGAAGAGGGGAAGGGGGGAAGGGGAGGTAGGATGAGAAGGAGAGGAAGGAGGGGATGGGATGATGAGGAATAAAGGGGGAGAGGGGGAAGTAGGATGACAAGGAGAGAAGGAGGGAGACGAGGGAATAAGGGAGAGGGAAGAGAGAAATAAATAAAGGAGGGGTTTAGGATGAGAAGGAGAGATAGGAGGAAGAGGAAGGAGATGAGGGAAGGGAAGAGGGGAAGGAAAATAAGAGAAGTGAGGAGCGAAGGAATAAGTGAAAGAGTAATCGAAGGAATAAAAATGGAGGACAAGGGAATAAAGAGTAATAAGGAGGAAAAGAGAGATAGGAGGGGTTAAGAGGAAGAGGGAAGAAGGATGCAAGTAAAAAGAGAGGAGGGAGCAAGATGAGAAGAGTAAGCAAAGGAGAGAAGAAAATAAAGAGAAGAATAAGGAATTAACGGAGAAAGGTAGGAGATGGAGAGGAAGAAAGAGGGTTTAGAAGTAAGAGCAAAAGGTAGGAAGAGGAGGAGAGAGAGAGGAGAAAGGGAAGAGTTAGGGATACGAGAGGTAGGAGGAAGAGAAAGAGAGAAGAGAGATAGAAAGGAAGGAGGAAGAGGAAGAGAGAAGAGAGATAGAAAGGAAGGAGGAAGAGAAAGAGAGAAGAGAGACAGAAAGGGAGGAAGAGAAATAGAGAAGAGAGACAGAAAGGAAGGAGGAAAAGAAAGAGAGAAAGAGACAGAAAGGAAGGAGGAAGAGAAAGAGAGAAGAGAGACAGAAAGGAAGGAGGAAGAGAAAGAGAAAAGAGAGATAGAAAGGAAGGAGGAAGAAATAAGGATAAAGTGAGGATATACGGTAAGAATACGAACGAACGAAAGAGACACGAAGATGGAAAGGAGAAGGGGTACAAAACAGGGAATAAGAGGAAGCGAGAAGAGGACGAGAAGGGAAGAACAAGGGAAGGAGAGAGAATGTCAAAAAGTAAAAGGAGATACGAAGAAGAGAGAGGGGAAGAGGGAAAAAGGGGAATTAAGAAGTAAAAAAAGAATAGATAGGAGGGAGGGAAATAAAATGGAAATAGGAAAAAAGAGCTAAAGTGGAAACGCAAAAAAAAGAAGAAAAAACAAGAATTAAGTAAAAAATATATATATACATATATAAAAAGAGAGAAAATATTAATGTAGAGAGAAAAAGGAAAACAAAGAAATTTTGACGTTTATTCGTACACAAAGTGAAAGAGGGGGGAGATAATGGAAGGAAAGAGGAAGAAGGAGAAACGGAAGAAGATAATAAAGCGTAGAAGGAGGAAGGGGAAGAGGAACAGGAAACTAACATAACGACAAGAAGTTTGTTAATATAGGTTGAAGACAGAAGTTTGGATGGGCTATATATAAATACGGTATATACATATTGCGCATACACAGACTAACGAAACACTCGCATACACACACACACACGCACACACACAAACAGACACACACACACAAACATACACACCGCATACTCTCTCTCTCTCTCTCTCTCTCACACACCCCACATTTTTTTCTATGCTGTTATTATTTCAATCATGATCATTCTTATTATTGAAATCATTTTATTATCATTATTGTTATCACAATAGTATTACTACTATTACTAATGGTACTATTACCACTACTACTACTACTGCTACTACTTCTACTACTGCAACTGCTACTATCACATCTGCTACTACTACTACTACTACTATTTTGTTAACAATGGGGACGAGGATGAGGACATTAGTAATAACGTTACTGATGACAACAGGGCATTCGATGAAGATGAAAAAAACAAACTGACGATGATTCTAGTAAAAAAAAAATAAATAATGATAATAATAATAATAATAATAATAAAGAAAAATTGGATAACGGGATAAACAGAAATACATAAAGTTGACATCCTCAAGAGCCTCAAGAGCCTGAGGTCTCGGCCTTGTTCGAGAGAAGGTTAAGTTTACCTGTTCCAAACGGCCGAAAAAAGTCATGCAGCCGCGGAACCCGAGATTAAATTATTTTCCTCTCCACAGGGAGGTAAACAAGAGGATTTAGAAGCAAAGAATAAAGTTATAAGTTTTTTTTTTTTTTTTTTTGAAGGTGTATGAGGAAATGTGTCTCGTCCATTTAGTTTCAGTTTTGTTTTGTAGGTCATTTTATTGCAAGCGATGTATGTGGATGTTTATGCATACATACATATACACGCATTTAGTCCTGTGTGTGTGTGTGTGTGTGTGGTGTGTGTGTGTGTGTGTGTGTGTGTGTGTGTGTGTGTGTGTGTGTGTGTGTGTGTGTGTGTGTCTGTGTGTGTGTGTAGGGAACCGAATTAGTTATAACTTTGTAGTTTCCTGCAGATTGATGGTTTCAGTGTTTCTCGCGTTTGGAATGAACGTGATAATAATAGAAAAAAAAAGTAAACCTTCACATGCCAGGCAAATTCTCGTCATCCAATTTTCTATTGAAACACTTCTCTCTCTCTCTCTCTCTCTCTCTCTCTCTCTCTCTCTCTCTCTCTCTCTCTCGTCTCTCTCTTCTCTCTCTCTCTCTCTCTCTCTCTCTCTCTTATATATATATATATATATATATATATATATATATATATATATATATATATATATATATATATATATTGTAAGTGTCAGTGAAAATCCAATCACAATACTACTACGAATCCTTATCCCCAACGCGAGAATTGGCTTAAACTCTAGACTCTAATCCCTGAAAAGGCTTAACTTGCGGATATCGAACATCAGAAAAGACTTATATCAAAATAAAAGACTTATATCAAAATAAAAGACTTTTATCAAAATGAATCAAAATAGAAGCGTTGATTCCTCAGGCGTGTCTATTCACCATAACCTTTCCGGGAGTTGAGATGCTGAGTTGATAATTGTAGATGCGATTGGTGTGGAAATAGATAGATTGATAGATAGGTAAAGAGGTAAAGAGACTGATTTCTTTATCTAAAATGACGAGTTTTTGTGCGTGTGTGTTTGTGTGTTTTATCATGATAGTAATACATAGGTACAGTTGGTGAGTGGATTATTACAAAGGCGATCTTTGTGAATTGTATAGATTGATAATTGAATAAATAGACTTTTTATTGCTTTAGTTTAATGTTATATGTTTATATTCCATCATAATAGTTGGTATCTTTATGCTTTATGATAATGATTTTAAATGTATATTTTCTGTAACAAATATAGATAGATAAACAATATATTTACATATTTTCTGTATTCCTTCATAATGGTAATACAAAAGTGCTTATAAAAATGATTTATATGTTTATATTCTATGATAATGATTTATATGAAACTAATATATATAAAAAATTATGATTTATTATCACAAATATCCAGAATGTATAATCACAAATGAACATTTTTTTTCCCTTTTTTCACTAAAGGAAAGAATGCTTAATAGGTGAAATATTTTCTCCTCATTTGTTCTAGAAATGAAATGGAAGTCTGAATTCGAGAGATAAATGAACAAAGGCAAAATATTTTCGGGATTATTTGATATATAGAGATTGCCAATATAAAGATGATAAAGGCAGATTTGCAAATATTTCAGTTTCATAAACTAGCAAGGAAACCCTAACATGTCTCTCTTCTTCTCTATCTATCTCTCTCTCTTCTCTCTTCTCTCTCTCTCTCTCTCTCTCTCTCTCTCTCTATATATATATATATATATATATATTAATATATATATATATATATGTATATATATATATATATATATTAATATATATATATATATATATATACTACTATATATAATATATATATATATATATATATATATATATATATATATATATATATATATATATATATATATTATATATACACACACGCACACACACAGACACACACACACACACACACACACACACACACACACACACACACACACACACACACACACACACACACACACACACACACACACACACACACACACACACACACACACACACACACACACACACACACACACACACACACACACACACACACACACACACACAACACACACACACACAACACACACACACACACACACACAACACACACAACACACACAAACACACACACACAACACACAAAACACAACACACACACACACACACACACACACAAACCCATAATATATATACACTAAATACACATATAAATGTATGTACTTGTAGGACCCCTTCTCACAGCGCCCTCGCACCCTCCCTCCCTCAGGCAACAGGGTCGCGTGGGAGAAGCCGTGGCCCTGCTGGAGGAGAGTCTTCGCTACGACGCCACCAACAGGGACGCCGTCTCAGCCTTGGCAGGGTTGTATGGAGACGCCGGACGCCCTGCCGAGGCCGAGAACCTGCACCTGGCTCTCCTGGGGGCGAGGCCGACGGACCCTGTCGTGCATAACAACTACGCGGCGTTCTTGCAGAGGATAGGTGAGTGTGTGTCGTGTTGGTTTGTCGTTTGTGTTGTTTGGGGGTTTGGGGGTGTTGAAGAGGGAAGTTCTGGGGTATTGCGTTTGTGCAGGATGATACGTGTGTATGTGTGTATGTGTGTCTGTATTTATGTATGCGTGAGTTTGTCCAGAGGAATTAAAGCATTTTTATGTATATTGCGGATGAATATTAATTATTTATTCATATTTAAGGCAAGATATTGGACAACCTCTCTCATTTTCTTTCTTTTCTTTATCGTTTGCTCTCTCTCTCTCTCTCTCTTCTCTCTCTCCTCTCTCTCTCTCTCCTCTCTCCTATCATCTATCATCTATCTATCTATCTCTCTCTCTCTTCCTCCCTCCTCCTTCCTTCCCTCCCTCCCTCCCTCCCTCCCTCCCTCCCTCCTCCTTCCTCCCCTTCCTCCCTCCCCCTCCCCTCCCTCCCTCCCTCCCTCCCTCCCTCCCTTCCTCCCCTCCCTCCCTCCTCCCTCCCTCCCTCCCTCCTTCCTCCCTTCCCTCCTCCCTCCTTCCCTCCTTCCCTCTTCCCTCCCCTCCCTCCTCCTCCCTCTCTAAGAGGGAGTGATAGCGCTTAGCATGTTCTCTGTCAGGAGTCATAGAGAGAGAAGGGAAGGTCGAGAGAAAATGTTGCAGAACATTGTTATATTGCATTTTCCTGTACTTGTTGCAATGGCAAAGTCATGTTCAGGATTAATATTGCATATCCTCTACTACCCTCCAAGAGAAGACAGTGAACATTATATTTGTAAGTGTGTTAGATGGTTAATGCATTTCCTACCTTTTTATGGGGGTCTGGTCAGGTGAAGGAAGCGGGCAAATTGCTATTTCCTACAAGTTTGTTTTTTTCTTGAATTTCATTTATTTTTTTCTTCTTGACAGGATTTGCATTTGTAACGTAATTCCTCAAGCCTTTCTTTCTTCTTTCTCTCTTCTCTCTTATCTCTCTCTTCTTTCTTTCTCTCTCTCTTTCTCTCTCTTCTCTCTCTCTCTCTCTCTCTTCTCTCTCTCTCTCTCCTCTTCTCTCTCTCTCTCTCTTTCTTTTTTTTTTTTTTTTTTTTTTTTTTTTTTTTTTTTTTTTTTTTAGAAGGTAGCGAGACAACTATTTTTCTCACTTTTCTGTAAAAATTATATGTGCATTTCCACACTACAAATGAAGGGTAAGAATGCTCTCTTTCATGATATATCTCAAAAATCGACGCTAAGACATATCAGTAAATTGTGAAAATTACGTATTCTGTAAAGATTCCAGCCGATTTGAGTGTGTGTGTGTGTGTGTGTGGTGTGTGTGTGTGTGTGGTGTGTGTGTGTGTGTGTGTGTGTGTGTGTGTGGTGTGTGTGTGGGTGAGTGAGTGAGTGAGTGTGTGTGAGTGAGTCAGTGAGTGAGTTAGTGAGAGAGAGAGAGACTGACAGTGTGTGTGTGTATGTGCGCATCTGTTTGCACGTAAGGCCAAAATATATATAAATATATATATATATATATAATATATATATATATATATATATATATATATATATATATATATATATATATATATATATTTTATATATATATATGTATGTATATGTATGTATGTATGTATATTCATATACATATATATGTATAGATATGAATTATTCATTTATGTACATTCTAGACGAAATTGCATTAACAGTTAATACAAATATCATTTCGTAATACGTCATTATGATTCGGCAAAGATAATTCTAATTCAACGATAATTCCGTGGCGTTATTTCAGCCTTGATATACAGTGATTAGGAAACGCTCATTAAAATAACTTTTAATTCTTGCAAATCTTAGTTTTTCGTTCAGTTTCATTGTCCACTGTGCTGTATGATAAAAGAAGTTTTGTTATTATTTTTTTCTCAGTCTGAGATCACGGTCAGTCGCTGTATTGTTGTAGAGGAGGAAAGGAAGAGTGAAATGACCTCGATGTTGATTGGAATAGTGGAAATAAAATAGATGTTGAAATTGAGAGGTTTGATAATCACAATGGCGATGGCTATAAAGAAGGAGGGAGAAAGGGAGGAAGGGAGAGAGAAAGAAAGTAGAAGATAGGAGGAAAAAGAAAAAAAGAAAGATAGAGAGATAGATAGAGAGAGATAGAGGGGGAGGGGGGAAAGGAGAGAGTTAGAGCGAAAGAGGGAAAGAGAATAAGAGAGAGAAAGAGAACGAGAGAGATGGACAGACAGAAAGATATACATATTACACGTACACACACACACACACCCACACACACACCACACACACACACAGACACACACACCCGCACAAACACAACACACACGCACACACACACCACACACACACAAACAGCTGCAGAGCGAGAAAAGGAGAAAAGCAATTAGGATCCTCGGGGAATAGCTCCAAAATGGCACAATCAGATATCGCAAACGGCAGGTGAGTGATGGGAAGAGAATGGAACTGACAGGATAGAGAAAAATTCGATTTTGAAGAACATCGACTTGGGAATCAGCCCGTAATGGCGACTTTCGGGGGGGGGGGGGGAATAGCTCGTGATTTTTTTTCATTGTTGTATTATTTTGTGTTGTTTGTTTTGATATCTGTCTGTTTATTTAATCTTGTTTGGATGTCTATAGGGAAGAATATGAGTGATAGTGGGATATACATACTTTTTTTCTGTCTCTGTTTCTCTCTCTCTTCTCTCTCTCTCTCTCTCTCTCTCTGCTCCTCTCTCTCTCTCTCTCTCTCTCTCTCTCTCTCTCTCTTCTCTTCATGTTTATTTTTTTTTTCCTTTTTCTTTTTTGTTTTACTCATTTATGTGCATTTCTGCTTCATGATCTTCATTTGACTGTCTTCGTCTGTCTTCCATCTTTCTCCTTTTCCTTCTTTTTCTTCCTTTCCCTTTCCTTTTTTCCCCGTTCTGTATTTCTATGTCTATATATCTCTAATCTATCCGTTCACTTATCTATTTTCTATTAATCAATCAGTAGGCTAATCTACCTATCTATCCCATGTTCATTCTATCTATCTATTTTCTATCTACCACTCTATCTATCTATCTTGCTAGCTAGTAAGGTGTCCTAACAATCTATCTGTCTACCTATTTGTCTATATGTATATCAATCTATCTATATGTTCGTCTATTCCATCTATTTATCTGTTCAATATATCGATCTGTTTATTTGTCTGTTTGCCTATGTGTTCTATCTATTTATATCTCTGTATATCTATTTATCTACCTGTTGTCTGCCTGTGTGTTCTATCTATTTCTATCTATTTATATCTATTTATCTATCTGTCTGTCTACCTGTGTGTTCTAACTATTTATATCTCTGTATATCTATTTATCTACCTGTCTGTCTGCCTGTTTTCTATCTATTTATATCTCTGTATATCTATTTATCTATCTGTCTGTCTGCCTGTGTGGTTCTATCTATTTCTAATCTATTTTTGTCTATTTATCTATCTGTCTGTCTACCTGTGTGTTCTAACTATTTATAATTCTGTTATATTCTATTTATCTACCGTCTGTCTGCCTGTTTTCTATCTATTTATATCTCTTGTATATCTATTTATCTATCTGTCTGTCCTCTGTTTGCCGTAGCGTGTCCTGTTTTCTATCTATTTATATCTCTGTATATCTATTTATCTATCTGTCTGTCTGCCTGCGTGTCCTATCTATTTATATCTCTGTATATCTATTTATCTATCTACCTATCTATCAATCTAAATATTTCCCTGTCTCTCTGTGTAAAAAAAAAGAATAGCCTGTCTGTGTAAAAATAGTTTTTCTCCTTTTCAACATTCAATTTGTCATATTGTATATACATGCAAATATGATACTATTCTTGCAACTCATCCCAGCTATGTTTATACAGTACAAAGCATGGACTGACAGAAAAAGAGAAATAAAATGTGTGTGTGTGAAAATTGATGAAGAGAGAGAGAGAGGAGGAGGAGAGAGGAGAGAGAGAGGAGAGAGAGAGAGAGAGAGAGAGAGAGAGAGAGAGAGAGAGAGAAGAGAGAGAAGAGAGAGAGAGAGAGAGATGAGAGAGAGAAGAGAGAGAGAGAGAGAGAGGAGAGAGGAAGAGAGTGAGGACGGAAAGGGGGGGAGCGAGAGACAGGGGGAAACAGACGGACAAAAGAAAGCTAGAATTCAGAATACATGTAAAAATATATATACAGGATATATATATATATATATATATATATATATATATATATATATATATATATATATATATATATATTATATATATATATATATATATGTGTGTGTGTGTGTGTGTGTGTGTGTGTGTGTGTGTGTGTGTGTGTGTGTGTGTGTGTGTGTGTGGTGTGTGTGTGTGTTACGTTTCGGATGCGCACTTATATATAATAACGGTATGAAATATGCATATACACTATTTTGCATAAGCATTAACAGAGGAGGTCACATGCTATGCTAATACCACGACAAATCCCGATCTGACTCAGGTTCTTTTGGTTTAAGAGGAACATCAGACACGGAATAACAACACTTGCCCAAGAGCTGTTGTATTGTGTACTAGAGCTTGTTTTGTACAGTCAATCTGATCGGTATTTCTATCAGAAATTCACGTAGGGATTAATGCCATTGGATGAGTGATCTGTGGAATGGTTATGTGGTTGTATATTTGGTATTTTAGGAAGGGTTTCTTCGTGAGGTAGGGGGAGTAAGAGAGAGGGAGGAAAGGAAGAAGGGGGAGAGGGAAAGAGGTTAGGAGAGAGGGAGATAGGGAAAAGGAGAGAGAGAGATAGGGAAAAGGAGAGTGAGAGAGAGAGAGAGAGAGAGAGAGAGAGAGAGAGAGAGAATCAGATGGACAGACAGAGAAATGGACGGATAGACAAAAAAGAAAAAAAAAAAAAAAAAAAAAAACATATAATAATAATGAAATGAAAAAAAAATATAGAAGGTTGAGGATTAGGGGGAAGGTGGGGAGAGAAACGCACCCATCCACCTAAATAAACCGATATATATTTGTATATATATATATATA